TAATTCTTCTAGTCGTGATTTGGAGAGCCTAGAACATCTTATACACATGAAATTAAAGTGTAAATTATGTGCATAAACTTTATGCATCTGCTTGGACATGTTTCGTTGAAAGGTCATTCTATCAGTCAAGAATGATCTAGTTGATCATTTGATCTGAAGTCCAGCATGATCTGGATAATCTGGATCATCCTGTATACATAAAAATGGAGTGCAACTGATACGAAAAAAAAACTCTATGTATATGTTTCGTTACTAACAACATTGTCCCAGTCGTGGTTGATCTGAGGACCAATCAGATCATTCAATTTCATAGGGTGTCGAACAGCTTTTTTTTTGTCACTTTAACACATTTTAGGCCATTCGTGTCTTGTCCGGGAATGAGATTTTAAAATTCGTGACTTTTAGCGTGAGAGGTATGGATGCTAACCACTACGCCGGGCCTGTCTCCATTAGAACATCTTATAAACATTGAAATTGATCGTAAATTATGAGTTTAATTTATTTGAATCATCTTGGAAATGTTTCGCTAATAAAGGCATTAGGTCAGTCGTGATCAAGGAATCAAAAATATCTCCAAATGACAAAATGACGAGCCGAATGATAACGCGTCAGAATTGGAAAGCAATAATATAATCTTTTTCCATTTTTCATGACAAACTGCCTTCGAAATACAGCTCGCTCAGGCCGGTAGAAGGAAACGACCGAATTGTTGGCAAGCTGCTTTACGAAGTAAAACCAAAGATGTTACACGTGTGTTAATGGGAATTTTTTGACGTACGATTACGTCTTTCAGGAAGTGCAATTTCAAAAAACCAAAATTGACCTCGTTACGAAAAGTGATCTGGTTTTTACCACTCATAACTGTGTCAATAACGGATGGATTTTAATTCTACACAAGCCAATCGATTGGTCGTTTTTTACTAATCAATTTTATCAATATTCAATAGCTCACTTATGAAAGTTACACAAATGCCCAATATTATCACCAATTGCCTGAAAAAAGTGCATTCCTTAACAGAGATTTCAGCTGAGAGCAGGCGTAAAGTTGGGTTGTAATAGCCAAAGAAGAAGAACATTTTAATGAACCTAAAACAACAGGATGGATAGGTACATATCAATATTAACTACTTAAGTATGATGAAACTACGCTTGATAATGGAAATAAGTGCAACTTAACTTGTGTTGGTTTCTATATTTAAAGCAATCCCCTGTAAATTTTAAACGGGTCGTTCATTCGTTCAACTGTCTAAAGATAATTTGATGGTAAATTGCTGATGGAGAATCATGCTTATCTTATGAAAAGGGCATACAAATATTGATTATGTTGAAACTAAATTTAAAATAACTCGAAAACATTTTTCTCGGTAACATTTAGATAGTTCATTCATATGATCAATGTGGTTTCGAATGATTTATAATCCTTTTCTGTCATAAAAGTGTTCTTCTTTTTGTTAATAATCAATGTTTCAAAAAAGCTTCAAAAGTTGCTCTTAAACAAACTGTTTTATTAAAACTGGCTTCATCCTGAAATTTCTTTCAAATTTCTTTTAAATATTAGGTTTTTTTTTTGTTATTGGAATTCTTAAAATAGTTATTTTTGATTTTTTTGTTAAAACCAAAAAAAAAATCAGTTTATTTTTTTTATCTTTCAAAAAACGCTCAATTAGTTCCCTATAGCTCTCTTAATCAATTTTTCTCTATAGCCAACTGTTTTTTAACTATTTTTTTTCAAGCGGCGCCGGTGGTGTAGTGGTAAGCGTGATTATCTCTCACCCCAGCAGGCCTGGGATCAATCAAGTAAAGCTGTTGGCCCCCGGTTCATGATTTGATGGGTCAAATCAAGGAAAAACTGTATTTTTTAAATAATATGTGTGCAAAAACACATAGGCCGTTCTCAAAACTTACTCTTGAGACAAAATGGGCTTTTCTCTTACGGAAAATACTGGGTCTATGATACTGAAAACATGTGCCAAGTGCCATCCAAATCGAAGATGGTCGAGTACGATTTTAGGTATTTTGAGCTCATTCTGGATGGAATTCCTCGTATTGGATATTTGTGTTTGGTGATGCGTCAATCAGTGTGGACCGTTTTACAATAGTTGCCTTAAGTGCTATTTTCTATAATTTTGATTAAGTATTAAAAATAATACTTTGTCACAAATTGAAAAAAAAACTCCTACTAGACGAGGAATTAAAAAATTGCTTTAATTTGGTTTTGTAATTCTAAAGTCAATGTTATCGCAGTGCTTATTGTATGTGTCCATTATTTCATCAAGGGTCCAAATTTAGCATTATTCATACGATGGCGGTTTGTAGTAAATATATTTCTATTTTTTAAATGCCTAAATGGTGTATATATAAAGGATGACAATAGTTCTATTGAATCAATGCGATGTGATACGATATCGTTTACAAATGAAATCATAACCAATTCACGACGCCCTTTTAATGTTCGGATATTTATGAGCATACATCAATCTGTGTAAGATGGCAGAGGAAATACGGTCCAACCTAACTTGCGGAGTGCATACAGTAGAAACTGCTTTTGAAGCTCGTGTTACATCCGAACGAGCTGAAATTTTCACCTAATGGTACAAATCAGAGGGTTGAAAAAAATGTTAAAAAATTTCCCCCATATAAATGTGGGCCAGTCCAATATGTAGTGTACAGTAATTTTATAGTGTATGAAGCCCAGCATACTATTTGATTATGATTGTGTTATAATTTTCTGCAAATGTAAGTTTGGTGTCCAGCATTACGCCTAAGTCCCTTACAATTTTGCATTTCTCTGCTATTTCGCTTCCTTCATGTATGTTTATGCAAGGGGTTCCAATTTTTCTACTAAATGTTATTGCGTTACATTGTTTACGTTGAGTTGGAGTAGACTTTTGCTACACCAGGTGTAGAAAAGATTTATTTCATTCTGAAATATTTCTGCCTCGGAGGCATTTCTTATTTCTATGAAGAGCTTCATGTCGTTGCTTAATAGTAGTCACAAAAACATAACATTCACACTCTGTAGCACCAATGTTTCAAGAAACATAATGTTTTATGGAATTCTCATGCAACAAATACAACACAAGTTAGATTTTTTGCTTAAGTGTTTCATACAATATCACGTTGCATATAACTTCACACCAATTTGAGTGTAACATGCCTGCTCCTCCCATGTGATGCATGATTTGAGAGGTCATCCAAGCAGTACATTTAATCAGTTGAGTTTTATTATTGAGATCTAAAGTAGATCAAGTAACACACTTGAAACAGTTTCGTATGGCAGCACAATTAATCATCAATAGAAAAAAAGCGAAATGAGCAATAAAAAATCTCAAATTGGCCACTAAATACTACAGGAGTGCACCAATAAACAATAAAAAAGTTGCAATAGAAATTATGAAAAAGGCAATAAACAAATAAAAAGGTTCTTTTAAAAATTTTAATGTGAGCGGTGAAAATGGCAAAAAGGGCAATAGCAAATAGAATACGCTCAATTAAATAAGGATGAGTCTCCACTAAATTAGGAAATTTGAGCACTACATAACTCACCTACGTCACCTTCAGTTGAACATATTTTCCCATAAAAGTGGCAAAATGAGCAATGTCATATTGAATAACCGCGATAAATAAATTTTAAATGCAAACACAATGCGCACAGTTATCACTGTTTAAATCCAAATATGCTGTAAAATCGTGATTATTTCCCCAAAAAGAAAATGAAAATATCTTTTAAAAACTGAAAAAGTTCTAGAAACCAGGAGATAAATGTATGCTTGAACATGAGGATGAGCCATCGTAAAATATGAATCGTTCTTAAAGAAATGAAAATAATTCATGCAGGAAAGTAAAAATGAGCAATTAAAAACGAACACTGCGCAATATAAAATTAAAAAAAATTCAATGATATTCAGGAAAAATTCCTTTAAATTGAAAGTTTATGAGCCAATAACCCAGATCAATTTCCATATGGTATTTTCAAGACAGTGATAAGTAATGATACTGTGTCTTGGCTAACAAAGGCGATGTCGATAAAGAAGATTAACAAATGTGGGTCTCATTGAAAAAGGTACCATTAAACAAAATCAAAAGAGCACTAAAAACATCTGTTTGAGCAATATATACGTCACAAAAGAGCACTAGAAAATGCCGTTTGAGCAATATAAAGGTAAAAAAAGACACAAAAAGTACAATGAAAGTCCCAGGGAAAATTTCAAAAACGCTCAACAAAAAATAAGAAATGAACAAGAAACGTATGAAATTAGCACTTGGAAAAATAAATTGATCATTTAATAGGCCATGAAGGTCACTAAGAACGAAAACAATATCTTTTGAAAACCTGCAAATCTTCATCGAACCACAGACAAGCAGACATAATACTCGCATCTTGTACATCGAACACGCATTTAACGGTCAATTCAAATATGTGTTAGTTGATAGCACCTCTGCCGGTGGCGCCCATAGTTAATTTAATCAAAAAATAATATACTTTCAGAAAATAAATTGGTGCTACCAATTTATTTTCTGAAATGAAATTATTTTTTTTTATATCTACATTTCCTGGTATTATGCATACACAACAAATTGCTTTAAATTATGTTGGTAGTGACATCTGATGCTAACAATGAAGCATGCGTTCTATTAAAGCCAATAAAAAGAAATCCCATCTAACCCCATTCTCTCTATTTTTCCCACATGCCACCCAGTCGGGGCTGGCTAAACGAGACAGACGAACGCTTTCCCGCTACACCGACAGGTTTATTACTTGTTATAAAAGATTGCAGCAGCTGGCTCTCTCCAGTCAGTCGTTCGGTTACGTTGGTCCTGTAAAAATCGGAACGGAATCGCGGCAAACCAAGAGCTGAGCAACCGTGCGTGCACTCTCCAGTTCACTTTGTCTGGAACTGGTGCGTTGCTCTGTACGGAGCTTTCTGAGAGGGAGGAAAAACTCTCCCGGTGTGTAGGACTGGAGGAAACCATCATCGGATGGTTGGGAAAAGTGTTCTAAAAGCTCCCGTCCCGTCCTCCTCGGTCTGTTTCTAATCAAACGGTCGAGGATTATTCGGGTCGGTGTTTTTTGCAGATGCTGTGCCGTGTGTCTTCTGCTGCAAGCGTAGCTATATTCCGGCCAAAGGAATAATAGAAAGAAATTGAGTAGCTAAGAACTCTCGAGGAGGCAGACAACAAGTTGCCGAGGACGGTTTTATCCGCTGGCAAAGGTGCTCTTTTGGGTTTGACTTGGAAAATTGTTTTGCATGCGGATTTTCTTCGAGATGGTGCTTCATGTGCGCGGATTTTCATTTTGACCCGTCGCCAAAGGAAGTGAAGCCAACCATGATAAATAGTGTAGAACGTGTAGTAATATATATATGTACATAGGGTACTTGACGAGTGTGATGGAAAATTCTATAAGTCAGCATTTCTTCGATGGATGGCGTAGAAAGTGAAACTGAAGAAAAGCGTTTTATTCCGTTTGAACAAGAAAAATGGAAAATCACGTACGGTTCACCGTGGAAGCGTTGCTGGTTGGAATGTAAAGGAAGTCAGATTAAAAAAAAATAGAAAGTGACGGTTGGTATTATCGTGAAGTGTGTGTTGAATGAAATTTCGAAATTCGAAAGTTTCGTAAGTGCTGTACCAAAGTAGTAGTGTTTTATGGCGATACGTGTACCGGCTTGCAGGCCGCCGGGATATTATTAAAGTGCAACCAAAAGCTGTAGGCTGCCTAGAGGTAGGTTTCAGTTGAAAAAACAAATGTTTTGATATTTGACTTTGAGGTTTGTAAATTTCATGCAAATAGAATGATGCGAAATAAGGTTGTGTTGGATGTGTGCCTATTTTTGGAGTTAAATTTGCAAAAAATAAGGAAAGTAACATTAAGTTCGCTTCAATAATGACGATACAATCAAAAGAGCACTCCGTGGCAACGTTGAATAATGCTTTATTCCGGAAAATGTTAATATACTCCAATGAATTTCTCAAGAGGGTTTTTTCATTAAAGTTGTTTACGTTTGACTTGAACGAAAAGCTCCAATTGTCAGTTTGAAAGCCTTGAGTACTTTTTTTCGGTTTCACTCGGGGGGCGGTCGACCTTAGTTGAAATATCCAAATATTTACTTGAAAACAAAAGTACACCTAGAACAAATTTTCAGCACAAAAAAAACATGTAGGGTAGAGAACTACTTCGGCCTAATCGCCCATTTTGGGCCTATCGAGCAGAAAACTTCAAATAAATCCATGATTTCAGAGTTAACATGTCAATTATGCGTTTGGTACGATACTTTAGTTAATAAGCTACGGAACGAAGTCAATGAGAACGCGTGATATGAAGGTTTGCACCCATTATTCCCAAAACAAAAGAATCTTTACTCGATAGGCCAAAGTGAATTCATTGGCGTTTCAATGCGTTAGGCCGAGTTTAGAATCCTTAGGCCGAGTTTGGCGTCAAGAAGTAGTGTTAGACTTTTGACAGTATCTCAACGATTGGTTTCTCTTTACCAAATCTTACGGTACTTACGGAAAGGTAAATAACTTTGGAAGCCATCAGTAATGATAACATTTCGTTTGGTGCTGAACTGCGCTAGATTAAGAAAGACTAAGTGTGGGTTGTGATTAATAGGCCGGAAATGGGGTAGTAAACCCTTATAGTTTTTGAAAATACTGAAATATATTCGATGTTATTTAGAAATATTTGATGATATTTTCAAATATATCAAAGTTCTCTTGCTCCTTGTTTTTTTAGTTTCTTTATTTATTTTCATCAACCGATGTAGACTAGTACAAATACATATACAAATTTAGTATTCTTAAGAATATAAAAAAATATTGTCTGCTATTCAACTTTTACTTCTTACGAGTTATGATTCCGTAGGAGTTAAAATATTGGTTTGTAAATTATTAGTATGCATGTTATTTGAACTGTGAATTATTGTATTTTATTAGTCTATGAAAGTTAGTTTGGAGTCTAAGATAATCCCTAAATCCCTAACTCTTTCACATTTTTCTACATTCTGATTTCTTAATGGAATTGAAATATTTGATAGTGTTCTTTTCCTGCTAAATAATATTAAGTTGCATTTTTTATATTCAATTCTAATAGGCTTCTTTTCACCATGTGTAGAATATGTGTATGTATTTCACTCTGGAATATATTGATGTCTTCATCATTTTTTATTTCCAAAAAAGAGCTTCATGTCGTCGGCATATAGTAGCAATTTAATATTTTTTTTTTTGAGAATAGAGAAAATGTCGTTTACATCTATATATATAAAAATGAATTTCTGTCTGTCTGTCTGTCTGTCTGTCTGTCTGTCTAACCCTTATAGACTCGGAAACTACTGAACCGATTGGCGTGAAAATTTGTATACAGGGGTTTTTGGGGCCGTGGAAGGTTCTTATGATGGTTCGAGACCCCTCCCCCTTCTGTAAGGGGGGGCTCCCATACAAATGAAACAGAAATTTCTGCATAACTCGAGAACTAATCAAGCAAATGGAACCAAATTAGGCATGTGGGGGCGAGTGTGGGGGTATAAGGAGATAATAATAGGGGGTAGCCCCTTAGATAATAGGGGGGGGGCTACGTACAATATAGCATGCTTTTTTTTTAAATCGGCGCATAATTCAAGCTAATATTGAATCCCGAGCAAGACCGGGCACACTCAGCTAGTACAGAATAAAAATAAGAGGTCCCAAGTGAAAGCCTTGGGGGACTCCTGAGGTGACTTGAATTGGAGTCGATTTCTATCCATTGAATTTAATTATTTGTTGGCGGTTAGTTAAATATGATTCAAATCATTTCAAGAGTCCTGGCTCAATTCCATTTTTTTTTTCAATTTGAGGAGTAGCATTGGTATGTCAATTCGGTCAAATGCCTTGCTTAAGTCCGTAGAGAGGTCTTCTACGTGGTTTCCATTATCCATTGTCTATAAATTCAAGTAAATTTGTCGCGGTCGAACGTCCTTTAAAGAAGCCGTGTTGCATGTCAGCAATTCAATTTTTGGTTTGAAGAAATAATTTTTCATTTACAATTGCCTCGAAAAGCTTTGGAACGCAAGAGATAATGGCTATTCCACGATAATTACGTACGTCAGTTTTCCGGCCAGATCTAAAAATGAGCTTTTCCATATTTTAGGGAAGGCTCCGTATTCCATATCAAAAATCCAAAACAATGGAGCAGTGAGTTCCATTACTATGTAGATTTTATAAAAATACTGGAGGAACTCCGTCAGGTCCAGGACCATTCAAGGCGTCTAAATTCTTTAAAGCCTGCAAAATATCCTGCACTTGAAGTTGATTGACGCCAACGTCCCTTGAAAATTCTGGATATAATAGATATATATATATATATATATATATATATATATATATATATATATAGATTTCTTGAAAAAAAATTGCAAAAAGATCAAGACCAACAATTGAAATGGCCTTAACTCCATTTTGTAAACAAACTTTGTAAGGCCATTTTCTCGCGAACCGAAACCTTCATTCGCAAACCTAAACCACAATCGGGTAGAGGAGAATTTCCCCTACCTGTTCATAATGTTGGTTTGCCTTTGCGGCCTTCGGTTCGCAAGAAAATAGCCTTGCAAGGTTTGTTTACAAAATGGAGTTAAGGCCTTTTAAATTGTTGGTCTTGAGATTACATTTTTTCCGAGCTATCCTCGACACGTTCGTCAAATTGCATTATTGATGGAAAATTATTATATTTTATTTTGGTTTTTACGTAATTGAAGAAGTTTTTTTGACAGAACTTTATTACAAGTTCAGTTTTTGAATTGAATTTCACAAATGCATTACTAATGGCTAAATCCAGTTAATCGCATATGTCCAAATAGATAGCCAAATTTTCACTATTATTGTGTTTTTTGTAATGTTTATGTGCTTTCTGTTTTCAATTTTTTTTTAATTTTATTATTTGTCTGTTATACCGACTGGATTTTTAATGCTTCTGAAGCGTCTTTTTTTTTTCTTCAAATGTATTTCTTCTGAAATTATTCCTGATAAAATTTGGTGGAAGATGTTTTCAGCAGTTTCGACATTTCGCTGTGTGTTTGGTATTCGTGCACAAATAAATAATATTTAAACGCTTCGTTTTTCCACAATGGGTTTAATGATTCGGTCACACAGAAATCTTCATAAATATTAAAAAGTAAGAAGTCTAAATAGCAATTTTGTTGGTTCTTAATGTGATTGATTTGGTTGAATCCTAAATTAGCAATTTTGTCGAAAATGAACTGCAATGTTTCATTATCCCAACGACTGGGGGTAAGATACTTTCATTTTCAGAGTCCAGAACGAAGTTGGCATGGCATTGGTTGAAGCCTCCATTGATGTGAACCTTTACCTCAGGAGAAAGAAGAGATATAATTTGTTCAGTATTTTGGAAGAATGTTTCATAAGTGTTTTTATCAGCATTTTCGGATGGAAAATACACTGAAGCAAACACGTGTGTTTCACCTGCTATGTGAGATTTCACCCAAAAGGATGAGCTTAATAAATTTTTATATAGGGTAAATGTCGGCTTCGGCACCCATTGACTGTTTTCGGCAACCAAAATTTAAACGATAATTTCCCATCAACACACTTCCCTGAATGTATCCAAAGGATTCTTTAGTATTTCAGCTTCAATCTGATTATATTTGTACGACCGAGCAATCCTATTATGCCAGATTTTTCTTCAAATGAAGCATACGCACTACAAAATGGGGCTGATTTCGAGTTGCCGATAATAGAACAGCTGGTTAACACGCAGTTCTAATGGGAAGGTTGCCGAAGAAAAAGAGGCTGCCGACAATAGTCACACTCACCTGAGAAGTTTGGAGCGTTGTAAAAACGCTTTCAAACCGTTTTGAAAAATTCTGTCGATTGGAATGGATAGAGAAGCAAGCAGCAGATGAATGTTAACAAACAGACACGTCATATATGTGCGTGACGCTGAAAAAATGCTAATAGAAGTGCGGACGCTGCTTAGATTGACGAAAATACGTAAATTCCCCTATTTCCTTCATTTTGGCTGGGCTTTTTATGCGATTAAAATTTTGACAGTAAACCAAGATTTCAGTTGCATTCTGTGAAGAAATTGTTGTAAGTGCGTCGGTTGACAAATTATTTTATTTGTTATTATTTACCAGAATTGGCAATTCTGATGAGAAGGCAAAAAGATTTCTGGAAGACTAGTTGTACTTACATTATAGTTTTCTTCTGCGATGAGAGAGTCGTCTTTTATTCCTTCCGTAGAGTTCATCAATGTTAATGAAAATTCTGAGGACTGTAGAATTTCCGTGCGGCCTCCCTAGTTTGCTGCAGTCGTTGTGTGCGCTCTTGGGTTATTCATGACTTGTCCGGGGGTGAACTCGTGACTTTGGTGTTAGGGGTATGGATGCTAACCACTACGCCGGGGTCACCCCCTTGCCCCTTGGTTCCACTTTCCTATGCATACATAGTAAGCCTTTTATTTGATCGTAACAATTTGGTGTATACAGTAACGTGACAGTGCGGTGTTACTCTCAGCACTGATGAGACCCCCGTCTTCAAGCCTCCACGCTCGTGACCATTCCGCGAACCAAGAAAACATTTAATGTTCACTCAAGACATAACTCCCACTATATTTTTATAAGTATACACTTTTATTTACAAACACTTCTGCCGTCTTCGTCGTTCATCTCCTTCCTCTGGTTCCGCATCACCTTCTTGAGCCAGGGGTGGACGGCTCTACCTGTCCCGTACGCC